GGGACGGCTCAAAGAAGGAAAGGTGGACATGCGGACTGGGGTCGACGGAGTCATCCTCACGAGCGAGGTTCCACCGCGGTGTTTTGACCGCATCTCCACGTTTGATGGCGAGACCGGCAAGGAGGGCGATCTTCTTTGGACGCGCCAGGATGGCCTGGTGCCCATCGAGCTGCCTACTGGGGACACCGATGAGTCGTCCTCGGAAGATGAAGCTGAGGGGCGCCAGCGGTCCGGTGCTGCGCCTTCGCAGCCCGGACGCGGCGTCAAGGAAGACCCTGAGGAGCCGGCCGCGCCCGCGGCCGTTGAGTCCAGCCCTCCGGTCCGTGATCCGGCGCCTGCTGTGTCTCCCGTCAAGGATGAGCACAGCCCGGCAGAGCAAGGTGCGGCGCCAGCCGCGTCTCCCGTCAAGAGGAGGCCAGCGGCTAAAATCCCCAAGGGGTATCATGGTGAGCCGCCGACACCTCCCAAAGCAGCCATGGCACTGCTTGCTGTGCAAGACTCGGAAGGGTGTCAGGGGTGGATGCCCCGTTGATGAGGATCACCTGCTCAGTGAGCAGCACATCGAGGAGATGTTCAAGATGGAGGCTCGCTATGAAGAGCAGCGCCAGCAAGCCAAGGCTGCGCCTCCGCAACCTGAGCAGAGGCACCAACGCAGCCGGCCCTTCCTGCTGCGGCCAACCTGGTCAAGAAGGAGGTGGCAGAGCCTTCAGCAGCTTCCTCTAGCGCAGGGCCTTCGGTGAAATCGGAGGCAGAAGTGCAGGAAGCCAAGCAGGCCGTAGTAGCCTCTCTGACGCGGGCTGGTGGTCTGTCTTCGGACCCCGGTCGCGCAGAAGGGCCTGATCGTATGAAGGGTGAAATGTCCAAGGAGGAGCTGCAAGCCATCTGGAGTAAGGAAGGCCGGACTCGGACGGCGGTCGCTGCTGGGGGGCGCTGCCGCGGATGAGCTTCGGTACCAGGAAGGTGCCGTAGGCGGCCTCAGCCAGCTGATGGCTAAGCAGGAAGAGCGGCCAACGGAAGGAGGAGCCGCCAAGCTTGAAGGCAGTCTTCGGATGATCGTCTCAGCGACGACCACAGCTCCAGTCACCAGGAAGCGTTCAGGACTTCCTGTGGGTGACACAGAGAGTGGGCGCTATGGAGAAGCGGTGACTCGTGCACTGCCCGTAGCAGCAGAGCGCCTGGAGCTCGCTCATGAGACTCCGCGAGCAAGGATCGTCGGCACTGCAGAGTCGGATACTGACTCGACGCAGGGCTCCGTGCAGTTGCCCAAGGGTCCACCGTGAGCCGGAAGGTCTTGGAAAAACAAGCGCGGAGCAGGATGAGAGCGGAGGAGCACAGGAAGTCGCTGGCCGCAGAGGCCGCTGCAAGTAGACTCGCCAATGAGGAGCCCGATGACTCCAGGGCCAACGCTCCCCCCCGTCCGCCGGACGACGGCCTTGATGACCTTCCTTACGAGGAAGGCAGCTGGGTTTGCGGAGCCTGCAAGACGGTCAACGGACCGAATATGGACCGTTGCGAGGGCTGGATCAAAGGAGAGCGGTGCGGCGAGCGCTGGGAGTCTATGGCCAGGTACGCCAAGAGCGGACCTCCTCGGCGTAGAAGCCCGGACTCTAGGAGGGAGGCCAAGCGCCTTCGGACTGAGACAGTCCTCAGTCAGGTCTTGCAACGGCCTGACAGCTGGTGGTGTAGCCGCTGTTGGTCAGGGAACTTATGCTTCCGCAACAGATGCTACAAGTGCTCTGCCATCCGGGAAGAGCCGGATGAGGGGTCGTCCGACGACGGACACCACCCGAAACCGTCACAGCACCTGACGGAAGAGATCCAGAAGTTCTTGGCCCAATCGCAGAGACGGGTCAAGAAGAAGCGTGCTGGCACAAAGCACAAACAGAGTCACAAGAAGCGGAAGCGAATCCGCGCAGGAGGGTCGGCGGTGAAGTCTGCGGTTCGCAGGCTTCGCGCGACCCGGTCAGCGGTGAAGTCTACGGTTCGTGGACTTCGCGCGACCAGGAAAAAGAGACTGCGGAAGAAGACCAAGCGTCAGGGATGGGCCTTGTCAAGAAGGGCTCGGAACCGGCGAGCGCGCGCCTTGAACGGCAATGGGTTCAGCTTTGGCAGCAAGGCCACTTTGGTCCTTGCCGCGTTCTTAGCGCCGGTGGTCCGCAGGGTCCAGCTCGAAATGGAGGAGATCGTGGAGACCGGATCGGAAGCCTTTCAGGTAGTGATCGCCGAGGGCGGTGAGGAGTTAGCTTCCTTCATCGAGACTGCGTTCTCGGCAGCTCGATTTGCGATCGTCCGGCTGACGTTCTGGTGGGTCTCCAGGAAGGTGGCAAATGTGATGATGCACATGGCCCACGGGAATGCGACCCCTCGCTTGGTGCAGTTTGATGGAAGCATCTCCACGTGGGAAGTGAAAGGGACGCGAGGCGCTCATCGGGTTAGGATCGCGGGGAAATCTCCCGGGCGTGCTTGCAGGGAGTTTCTTCGCGCAGGGCGCTGTGACCACGTGGAGGTCGCCTTGGTAGCGCATAAGAAGCTGGTCGGGCCGCATGTTGCGGAAGCCAGCGGGGCGTCAACGGCTCTGGCCAGAGGGAAGGCCGCAACTGAGGGGCGAGCGATGGAATCGCTCGGTCTGTCGGCTTGTTTCCAAGGCCTCGTGGAGAAGGCCAAAGGCCTACGGCCAGACGGCCATGGCTTCCCCAGTGGAAGCCGCGGCGGAAAGCTGCGAGAGCCAGAGGAATGTCAGACGCCAGAGTTCGCAGTGCAGGACCGTCTTCCTGAAGCCGAGCCGCCGCAGGATCGGGCAGAGCCGTTGGCTCTGGAAGACAAGCGGTCCGTTCACCCGCGAGTTGAGCTGCTGGTGAACACTGCCAGCCAGGATCAAGTCCTGGCCCTTTTGGGCGGTGCAGAAGAGCTGATGTTGACAGCTTACACGTTCGACCAGCCGGACGTGATCGACAGTCTCATCAGGCACGGCGTCACAAGAATTCTTGCCGATAAAGGCCAAAGCCAAGGAGAGAGGACAAGGCTCCAAAGGCAATCCTTGCTACAAGTCGCGCGAGCAGGGATCAGGGTGCGTTTGACTTCAGGGACGTCAATCGCAGAAGCCTATGAGGGCGATCGACGTGGAACGTCCGTCGGCAAGAGCTTGAAGGGGATCCAACACTCAAAGACCCTGTGTCTCAAGGGCAGAGTTGGATCGCCCAGTTACATGATCGTGGGAAGCTCGAACTATACCACGAGTAGCCGAGCAAATGTGGAGCTCGGGTTGTTGGTTCAGGGTCAATGGGAGGACGAGATCTTCCAGACCTACGCGAACCACTTCGAGAGGCTCTGGCAGACATCTGAAGTCTTCGGAGGAGAAGACAAAAAGGAAGAAGGAAAGCCATCACGGAGACGCGCGACGGGCAAGCAGAGCCAGAGCTCGCTAGCAGCGGCAGAGAAGTGAGCCGCCGCCAGCGGCAGTGCTCGCGGTTCGCGGCACTGCGCGGCGAGGCATGATACAGAGATGGATCCCACGGCCGCAGAACCCATCTGAGGGGCGATTGTGGAACCATGTAGCCTCGCCTAGTTCATGTGTGTTTGTTTCACTTGTTGCATGATACTTTTTGGCTCAAGGCCAATACTTTTTGGCTCAAGTGACTTGGCTAGGAGTAGCGTAAGTAGCTTCTCAGGTTCACTAGGCCGTCTCACCAGCCTGACCCGCGACCTCGCTCGTGCGAGTGAAAACAGCTGCGCGGCGTTTGGTACGCGTGCTCGCAACTTGTGACTAATAGCTTCTTGTTACTACTAGTAAGGCACTTGTTACTACTAGCGATGCACTTGTTACTGATAGCTTCTTGTTACTGCTAGTAAGGCACTTGTTACTACGAGCGATGCGCTTGTTACTAATAGCTTCTTGTTACTACTAGTAAGGCACTTGTTTCTACTAGCGATGCACTTGTTACTAATAGCTTCTTGTTACTACTAGTAAAAGGCACTTGTTACTACTAGCGATTCACTGGTTACTAATAGCTTCTTGTTACTACTAGTAAGGCACTTGTTACTACTAGCGGTGCACTTGTTACTACTAGCGATGCACTTGTTACTAATAGCTTCTTGTTAATGCTAGTAAGGCACTTGCTACTACTAGCGATGCACTTGTTACTAATAGCTTCTTGTTACTACTAGTACGGCACTTGTTACTACTAGCGATGCACTTGTTACTAATAGCTTCTTGTTACTACTAGTAAGGCACTTGTTGCTACTAGTAGGGCACTTGTTACTACTAGCGATGCACTTGT